GCCCGGCGGCGGCCGGTGCTGCGGCGGCGGGGCAGGGCGAGGCGGCGGCGGCGGTGGAGGCGGCGGCCACCCCTTACGTGGGGCTGCGGCGGCCGCTGGGCTACAAGCTGGCCAAGGCCACCAAGGAGCGGATCTGGCGGGGGGAGTTCATTGACCTCTTTTCCTTGCTCCACACAGAGCTGGCCCCCGAGCACGGCCCGCGGCCGGGGGACACGCTGGACCAGTGGGTCTCGGCCTTCCTGGTGTACGCCAGCGTGCTGTGCGAGAAGCACCCGGCGCGCTGCGGAGCCATGTTCAAGTACCTGGACACCATCCGCAAGCTGCACGCCACCTACGGGGGCACCTCCTGGATGAACTACGACGAGGACTTTCGGCGGCGGGCGGCCAAGGACCCCACCTTGCCCTGGGGGGACGTCGACCTGGACCTCTGGATGAAGTGGATGGCGCCCCTCAAGTCCCTGGTCGAGAGGCAGCTGCCGGGTGAGAGCGAGGCGCAGGCCTCGCCTGCCCCGCCGCCCCCAGCGCCACCAGCACCACCACCACCACCCTCCCAGAGCCCCAAGCAGGAGGAGAAAAGCCAGGTGTGACGGGCCGGCGGCTGCGGCGGCGCGTTTTCCAGCTCCCCTGGCTGGGCATGGTGTCCCCTTGGAGGGGACGAGCAGAAGGGGATGGTTGGGATGCCCCTGAGTCGGTTGGCAGAGCCTGTGTCGTGGCGCTGGGGCATCACTTACACCAACTCTAGTTGGTGAGGCATGTGGCCATACCTGCCAGGGCCACACAGGTGTCTGGCTGGCCACCGTGGGGGGTGTGTGGGCATTGCTGGAGAGGAGAAGCACACTCTCAGCAAGTAACTGTTTGTAGCATTTATTGCTCTGGGCACCAGTAGTTAAGAAGCCCAGTAATTCTCTCCTCTGGTATATAATTGCCTTTTCCGTAAGATGTCAGAACGCTGTGGTGTCTTCTTCCCTAGTTGTCTTTGAAAAATTAACTTTCTCAGCAGTACAGGTATACCCGTGTGTAAGACAAAGAGTACATACTCTGCAGTTACTGTGGGAGCACGTGGTAGTTGCAGGCTGTGTGGGAGGCCAGAAAAATTGATATGAATAAAGCTAAACTTCATTATCAATGGCTGCAGCTTGCAAATTCACTGTGACTTGGAGAATTAATTTATTTCAGGGCACAGTAGGTTTAATCCACGAGCTCTGGCCTGTTTTGTGGGGAAGGATGGTGGGTGCGATTCGGCGAAGTAGGGGATACTTTGTTGTGTGTTAAGGATTTGCTTTCATTACAGGCATCAAGTGTCCCTGAATTGGCATAACCCCTAATGTACATGGGCAGATCTCCCCCCTCCAGTGCCCGAGCTGTGACAGGGAGCTCCACTGCTACAAAGGGCTGCCTGACTATATTAGGGCTTGTGCTGCTTCTCTGGTGGCTGTAGTCTGTCAAATCCCCAGCAGAGAAAATGCTGTGGACTCTACACATTGATTTTCATGCCAGCTGAACGATGGTTGGGAGACTGTGTTGTATTGGCTATATTCATTTCTAAGCAATTCATTTTAGGACCGTAGGAAGAACCTTTTGTGTTCCTGGAGGTTTATTGCTAGCTCATCAGCTGCTGTGCTGCCCAGGGATTGTCAGCGCAGAGAAGGGGCAAAATTGTTGGACTCTTTTTGCCTGATCTGGAAAGGGAGGATCCCTTTTCAGGGCACCTGCAAGTGTTCAGTGTGTCACACCAAATCCTGACTGGGGGTACCTATCGAAAGTGACTTCTCTGGGCTGAGTGCAATAAAGAAAGGGAGCAAACACCATGTAGTGGGTAGTGTAACGGGTCCCAGTGCAGGCCTTGTGGCCTTGGTGCCTTCCGCAGTTGATGCTCTAGGTTTATGCAACTTGTTCTGATATCTCTGTTTAGATTTCTCCATTCCCAAGAACAACAGCCAGTTCTTGTTTTGCTACAGATCTTATCTGAGCACCAGCCGGGCAGAGGCTCATAGCTTTCATCTCATCTGAGACTGGATCTTCAGCTTGTCACATTAACCAGACTTGTAACTTCTTCCACAGTAGCTGGTCTGTGAGTGATGAGCTTTGCACTGTTGTCTGCTGAGGCACCACAGGTCTTCAGCCCTTTTGGTTTTGTGCAAATTTCACAGTTGGTTTTTAGCAGTGGCATTGATTTTTTTTTTTTTTTTTTTTTTAAATTTTAAAAAATGTCCGTTCCCCCCCCAGCAGCTGGAAGAAGCAAACAAATTGTGTAAAGAAAAATTAAACCTGTTACTTTTAACCAGATGGTTACGAAATACCAAAAGTTTAACGTTTGTAAAAACAGTAGTGCTTTAACAGCACAATGAAAAGCAAAAGTAAAAGTTGTGCAATTGTTCAGTGTGGGTTCAACCTCCTTTCTATTATTAGAGCAGCTTTTAATTGGTAGCACGTAGTCTTCTATAACTGTTTAAACAAGTCCTTAACTGAAATAATGGTCTGAGCAGCTGTTAAATGTAGACGAGGCCTAGGATAAAGCATGCGCTTATCATTGGCAAGGCAGCAGCAAGGAAATGTTGCTCTCTTGGAGGTGTCCTGTGGGTTTCCCCTGCACCTCCCCAGCTCCTTGCAAGCTCTAATTATGTTGTGTGAAACTACTTCAGAGAAATAAGACACGACTTCACGTTTGGGCAAAAGAATCAGAGAATTGAAATGGCTTTGGCCAGAACCTAAGCTTTTCCACATTCATGCTGTCAAGAGGAAGAAGAGGTGTTTTTACAAAGACCTTTTCTTCCCGATTGTTTGTTTGAACTGATTTTGTTTTCATAATTTCAAGGGATAGCATTAGGCAGCCTGACTGGATTCCATTTCCCCTTTCAGTTGAACGCTCCTTAAATTTCAGCTTGATGTAGTGCCTGTATCTCTGGTTCTGCAGTTCCACAGAAGGTTAACCAGTAAAAACAAAGTCAAGGAAAACAGAGTGTCTTTTTTGAAGCTAGCTGTCCTTTCTAAGGCACCGGTGAAGAGCTGTAACTCTGCTTTACACTGAAAGAACAGAGCAAGAAACCCTAGTTTCAGTTTGAGTGCGATAATTGGCGTGCACGTAGGATAGCTGAGAACAGATTCCTGCAAATTCATGTTTGCGTTAACTTCAGACAATTCTCCATTTTTTTTTCCAGACTCCATGAAAACAGAAGGCCAGTTGGGATGGCAGTCAGACTAAGTGGGTGAGTTTATATATAAAAACTGACTAACTTTGGATTTTAAATATTTGCAGATTTGTTAAATACAGAATTTTTTGTTGGTGCCAACAGCCTGACTCCGTTGGTGTTTAAGTGGAGCTCTGGTATTCTAGTGCATTCTTTTACCTCTGCTTCTGTTGCGTTGCAAGCTGTGCTAGAGAAGACGTAGGAAATTCATTTTACCCAATCAGCAATTGTAACAATGGACTACAAACCTGCAGAGCAAGCCAGTTTGCTGGAAAACAGGAATTCCTGCAGCGCAGCACTTGTCACAGACTATCCAAAGAGGGCAAAGATTCAGGAAGGTGAATAAATTGAACATTGGTTGAATGAGGTCAGGAACAGTCTCCCGGAGGAGAACCCTGCCCTAAAATACTTCTTTGAAAGTATAAGCCAATTTAATGTGCAGATTAACCCTTCTCATTTGAGCAAACTTGTGTGCAATCCTGGATCTTTGCAGATCACAACCGGACACTTCAAAAACCTATGTACTATATTTGTTTTAAAAAAAAAAATAATAAATCATACCTTGTCTTGTTACAGCTGTTATTTTTACCATTTCATTGAGAATATCTGCAACATAAATGTATATTTGACTTGAAACAGTATCATCCACTTGGTATAATAACTCAGGTTGTCAACAGAATTATTCTGTGAGGCTCAATACCGCCTCTCCATTCTTTTCTGAAAAACACATTAACCTTTGCTGTCATTGCCAGAAATCAGTTACAGCCCAATTGTGCATTACAAAATTCTTGATCAAGTATAATAATTGACCTACATTATTATTCTGTTTTTACCCTTGTAGAATGCTTAAGATCGTGAGCATTAGACTAGACCTTCGTAGTCTGGTGCTCATGAAAATAATATTCACTGGTTCACGGTTTAATCATTCTACATCTCAGTATTTTGTTTTCTTTTCCTTTTCCCTTGCATACTAGGGAGTATGATCAAGGTAATACTATGATCCAGTAACGCGCATGATGGTAAGGGTATGCCTTTAGTTGTTTCAGGAAAAAGCTACCATTATCTGCTCTCCTTTACCTTTCTTGGTAGTTTCAATAATATGCATAACATGAAGTGTTTGTAAATTGATATTAAACTGTTTGTGACTTCACCTAAATAAATTTTTATATATAAAATGCTGTTCTTAATCTTAGTCTTTTTTTTCTTCCCTTGTTCTTATGCTGCCACTTCCCCTTTTGTAATGACTTTTTTCCATCACCTGACCTTTTACAAAATTTCTGGTTGTCAGTTATGAAAGCACAGCCGTGTCTTAACTATTGACAGAAAACATATTAACCTTTGAAATTTACTTTCAGTGTTTTGCATAAAGGCTTGATAATGTTACAACTGTAGTTGTCGTAGCTTATTCATTTTTGACAGTTGTTGAGACAACGATACGTTGTTCTGCTTGATCTTGATACGTTGTTCTGGCCTTGATCTGCTTGCAAACGAAATAGCCGCTGTACTGAAATACCCGTATTTCAATGGCCTCTAAACTGGCACTCTGATTTACTGAATGCTGAGATACCCGCATTCAACACGGTAGAATTTAGAGCATTTTTACAAATGGAGTTGCAAGTTATAAAAAAATAACCTTTCATTGTTGAGAAGGGGCTTAAGCTCGGTAATCAGATCACTTCTGCCATTTTTCCATTGTCGCATTTTCTTAAGAAATCAGAACTCGGTTACTCACTGGCCTGTGCTGTGTCTCTTCACCATCGTTGCTACACGTGAACCACTGCAGGCATCCCCTCCTGAGGAAGTGCTGGGACAGTGGCAGGATTTGTGGGGGGGGTGTGGGAAGGGGGGAACGTGGAGCGAGGAGGGATGAACAGACGTTGGTCTCCTCCATCCCGCTGATGAATTACACAAGCATGGGTCTTAACCTGCTGACTCAGAGCAGCAATGGGTTTGTTTTTATTGTCCTCTTCGGGAGCAGCATGCCCAGCTGGAGTCTGAAACACTTCCTAATGTTCTTCACCGAGTCCTTCTGCCAAGAATTTGTTGGGTTTGTTTGTTACTCTCCAGTCTTCATGCAGTCTGGTGCCCTTCCTGGCACTGCTGTCACCTCCCGGTTTCCTGGTTGCTACTGGTCCTGGGCTGGACCACCCTGTCTACAGAAGACAACTGCCAGGGCTTTGCCTTGCTCTCTTCAGTGTCAGCAGCTGCTTCAAAATAGCTTCCTGCTTTCATAAAGAAACTTGCCTTTTAAATTACTAGCAGTGGTGGTTTAAAGCATGAGGGACTTAGTATCGCCCTTTTTATTTTTTGTTTTGTTTTGTTTTTCTCTTAGTCCTTCATAAACTTGGCCTTCGTCGCTGTCTTTGAGCCACCCAGTAATTTCACTGTGGTACTTGTGCGTCCTTGCTTTGGTGTTTATCGTTGCACGTGTGCTTTTCCCTCCTGCATGAAGCTTCTGCATGAAATTTCCTTGTCCTTTAGTTTCTCCTTAAAAGTGTTGGACCTCAGTGGGTTTCTTTCAAATTCCAACAGGTAGTTTTAACCCTGATCTATGACTAGATTTCTTTGGGCAATGATAGGCTAAACTTGCTGTCATTTACACGGCGTGGCAGGTAAGGATGGAGGTGCTGAAGATGCCTGCTGTCTGAAAGACATGGGGGATAACCCTTTAACTAAGCGATGCCTGAAGATAACAGCATACGGTGGGCAAGAGCCTTAGTGTGGAAATGAACCGTGATTCTGTTATTCTTTCAGTGACTGATCTGTAGCAGAAATCAGTGATAAGAAATTTTTTCATACTATTTTTGTAGATCCTATTACTTACTGGGGGGGAGAATGTTCTCTTTTCAGTGTTGCTTCAATTTTTTTATGCTTTTCTCAAAAAACCGTGAGCATTTGCACAAAGTTGCAACAAAGCCTTTCCCCAAGACTGATGGAATTTCCAATTGGGAATACTTGTAAAATGTTTGGGAGGACCAGCATCTTAAAGAAAAATAGTTTTCTGTCAGTTGACTAGAATTAAGTACCACGTACTTTTAGGGGGGTAATTTCAGATAAGTTTATGGTTAGGGATTTCTAGCAAGACAGGATTTTTTTTCACAGATGTGCTTTTTCATGTGCTGGATTGATGTGCTTTGTTCTTACAAAGAGCAAATTAAAACCAGCGCAATGTGACTCTTATGGCACAAAACGTGTTGCAACTTGGAAAGGGATGAAGCTAAATTACATATGTCTGAGGAAGCTGACGTGGCTTGGGAGTTTAGAGTTGAGCTTCAGCAAAGGTGGAGTCAAATAAATGGTATATCCAGCTTCCACCTGTATGCAGCAGTTAGAGAGAGCCTAGATGTTTGTGGAAATGTTGCCCAGTGAGGTTTTCAAACTTTTTTTTTTTTTTGTCTCCAGCTTCCACCTCTATGCAGCAGTTAGGGTAGAGAGAGCCTAGATGTTTGTGGAATTGTTGCCCAGTGAAGTTATCAAAGGTGGGGTTTTTTTTAGGTCATATGCTTAAGAGGGACTGCATCAATTTATAATTGTCTGTGGGAGTCCTTTTGTCAGTTCTTTCTACAAAGAGATTATGTCCCTGGAATTCTAAAGCTAGATCTTACTTTTCCCCTCTTGTCTTGGCACTCAGGTTTGACTATTGCCCTGTCACAAAGTTCCATGTGCATCTGTCCCGTCTGATGCAGTACATAAACTATTACCCATCTGTGTCCAGGACTCTTTTTTTTCTTTTTTTTTTTTTTCCCCCCTGGGAATTCTTGTCAAAACCAGTTGGCATCTTATCTTGGCTATTTACTGGGCAATGAGCTAAATGGCAGCTGAGATTGAAAAAGCAGGAACATGTTTACAGTATGTTACGTATTTGCAAACTTGAAATATTTCAAGAAGTACTTTGACATTTTTGTTGGTTGTTGCTCGCTCTTTACTTTAAAGAACACTTTCTTCTTCCCAGTGTCTCAGTGCAGTGTTGCTGTGTTAGTATTTCCAGGACAGCAGGGGAATGTTTACATCCAAACAAAAATCTGTTTTCTTTGAATTTTTTTAATTGCAAACATTTGTGTCCATAAAATCCTTTCCACATAACTCAATCACTGTTTGGCTGCTTTTTTTTTTTTTTTTTTTTTTATGCTTCTGTAAATAGTCTAAAACTGAGATCACATTCAGTTTTCAATTTTTTATTTTCTGAACCATGTAACACGAGCGCTGCATCTGCACCTACATAAGCTGATTTAGAAAAAGCCACTTGAGATGGCAGTCCTCACGATCTAAAGTCAGGAATGGCTGTTCAAAACCAGTAACGTGGCCTACACTTGCTTCAGATATAACAGCAATCTGGAATTGTAATGTTATAGTGAAAGTGTCCATAAATGCCCAAAATTATCCCAAAATTAGAAGTTTCATGAAGTCAGGAGGCTGTTACGATGCCTCAGCCCATGACTGTGTGTAGCGTGCTCTGCAGAGGCAGTCGTAGGCAGCTGAAGGGCTGGGGGTGCTGGTGGTAGTTGGTGGGGCTGTTTAACTGATGAACTGCACAACAATGTGGTGGCAGAGGAGCTGGAGAGCTCTTTCTCTACAGATGTCCCTGGCATAATCAGAGATGAGACAGCTCCTTGAACTGTGTAACGCAGGCCAAGAGTTTGTACTTCCCCTGCCTAAACCTTCCACCTTCTGCTTGGACTTCCTGGCATTTGTCTCCTACCATACCTCCCTCATCTCCTCTGGGTTTTTTTCACCCTGTAACAGTCAAATGTCAACCGTGCCGGTGTTAGGAAGGAAGAAATATCACCAGTAGGCACAGATGGTTCCCCACTGGATGCATGTCTCCCAGGGATGATCCATGCGGTACTAAGCAAAAAGGTTTGGGGTTTTTTTTTCCCCTTAAAGCTGAGGAATTAAGTTTATACAAATACTCAACCGAGGTGCTAGGATTACAAATGTTACCAAACCTGGATTCTTGAGAATAAAATAAAGATCAGTTCAAGGTGGGGAAATCTGCAAGGGTGCTTTTGCTCAGGGGATGCAAATGTCTCTCTTGGTGTGACTGTGCAGCTAATGAGGGACTCGAAGCAAAAGGCTTCTCAAAGTCCTGTGGGTTGGGAGGAGAAGCATTTTGTTTTCCTTCTTTCTGTGTCATTTTCCTTGTCCTTTCTCCCTCACCAACAGTTTCCCAGGCCAGAGATGTGACCTTGTTATCAAGTACTGGTGGATAATAGGAAATCTCACTGTCATTACATTGGATTGTTGGGAGAAATGAGTGAGTTTACATCTGCAAGAACATGGAGGTTTTCCAGAAGCAGCACAATAAATTTGGTGGTATTGAAGGGCAAAAAATAGTCAGTTCAGGAGACCCAACGTGTCCTTTGCTTTTCTGTTTAGGAAAAGAAGCTTCAGCTACCCAGCTTAATGTGTCATTGGCTTGTGGCAATTGGCATGTGGCATTGTGGAAAAGCTATGGGCAGAGAATCTCAGTGAGGTTTGGTACCAGAAAGTAAATGTGTGTGTCATTACTGCTGTAGGTGTGTTGTCAACACCTATATGAGCAGAAAAAGGAGCCTGGCCAGCAGGTGAAACTGGCCAGGCTGCTGGTGATGCTGACCAACCAAGCGTGAGGGCACTTCATGGAACTGGAGCTGTGCAGCTCGAGGAAGGAGCTTAAAAGACACTCTTCTTGTGCCTTAGCATGCATTAATAAAAAAAAAAAAAAGGCACAGAAAGTACTTTCATTGTATAACTGGAATGCGCAGCAAATAATAACAACGTATAAACTACAGTTACAAATACTTTTTGAGAGGAGTGTGGGTGGTATCTGGTATGCACCATTTCCCAAAACATGCATTCTCTATTTTAAACATTTTGATTGCATGCAAATGAAAAGGAATAAAACTGAATCTTTCAGTACAGATAAAGTAGAGAACAATACGTTTTACCAGCGGGTTAAGATTACTTGAAATATTTGGTGTTTCTGTTTTAGCAAGCATTTAAAAACATTGAGGGTTTTTTTTTTTTTGTCAGTGCAGTGCTTAAAATACCGAAAATAAACTTTTAGTGTGTCACAACACTTAGAGCATTGTTGAGAGCAACACAAGTTGCTTATGGCCCTGTATTGCACAGAAGTATAAGTAATCTCAGTTGTTTCCCATCCGAAGGGAGAGGAATAGATAAGCATATCC